TGAGATCAGTTAGACAATGTGAAGCAACCTGGATGACAAAAAGGTCACATAGCCATATTTAATAAACGATTAACCAATACGAAACACAAACTACACTTAAAGTTTAATACATGAATAAATAAAAGTAAAAAAACAAGGTATTTTCGTGAAACTAAAAATTTTACAGAATATTAAGGTTAATGTGTTGAAAACATGAGTATTGGAACTTTTCGACGTTGAATGAGGTTGTGGCAGAAATATCACCACAGTGGTGAACAGAAAGAGAGTAGAGTATATGAAATTCCCAGTTGACACAAAATACAAAGTGCACGTAAAACTTATTGCGCGCGAGTTTTTTGTTACGATATCAATACCAACAGTGATATGGGAGAAGTTTATTATACACGGAAAAGTTTAATTGCAATTATATTCATAAACATATGTTTAGCGTACGCTATTGGATAAGGAAACAATCAAATATTTTCAATGAATTCGTACATGACATCCTGAACGTGTTGAGGGACTTCAAAAGTATTCGACTTAAATGAGCTAAAAGGTTATACTACTTGAATATGTGAAATTTTTATCCACTTCATAAACTAAATGACCTGTGTTAATACCATTCTTTCGATGCAACAAATAGCATTATAAATAAGATATCTGGCTTTTGCCTTTCAGAAATCGCATATTGCCTAACCACCGAAACCCTTTATAAATTATTCACGTTACGTTGTACTAGTGGAAATGTAATGTTAGTTGTTAAATTACTGTTGAGTGAAGTAAACAGAACTGCACTGACTGAAATTACATCTATAAGCCACAGAAGTAGGCCAGACTAATGCATGACATCCAATTATCCAGTGTTTGATTGTTCAAGTAGTGATGACAATTACAGAATTTCCTGCTGAGGTGCAGCGATGAAGTCGAAATTCACAATTCGAACTGTGCCACACTTAAATAGAGGGAAACACTTGTAGATTTTGCGTTATTTTTATAACTATTTAGCTTAATAATTTTTATTTGAAATGATACAGAATCAACAAGAAACAACAAAACTTGGTATGGGAATGTTACAAATGTTACCAATATTAACAAATATTTTGCTAATTGGTTAGCATAATACAAGTCAGAAATGAACACAGTATCTTGTTTTTGAAATAAAGAGCCATGTAAAGGCTTAATTACATCGAACCTAAATGTTTTATCTTACCAATCATTAAGCATTGACTTTCAGAAAAACAAACAAATCGAACTTCCGTGCATAATTACGATTGTGTCTACTACTTTCAAGGTGGCTTGAAAGTAGTATGCAGCGGAGTGTCACCCAGAAGTTACTGCTGAAGGGAAGGGTGTCAGATCCGAAGCTTTTTGAAGACTGGGTGACATGTGGAAGAAGACAGCTAGTAAACTGTATCTAATTTAAATAAATCACTTATTTCATCTTCATTGATTACATAATCAATAGTTGGTGGCGTTATTGACCGTAACTCATGACTATTCGCATAGAGAAAAGGTTCATTACAATGAGGCGGAGACTTTACTTTGCCTGGCTTTTATACAAAGTACTAAGTCAGTGTTCATAAAAAAAACAACCTCAAACCGAATGGATTTTGACGATACGTACCAAAAAAATGAAATGCCTTTGATAAGATACACATGGATAAAATGGAACTACAATTCACACTTACACTGCTTATTTCAAAAACTAACTGCCTAGCGTCATCGGACGCAAGGAAAAGATCCACTAGCCGAAGACGATGAAGCTCATTTAATTGACGTATCACTCGGCTAATCGATTTCAACAATCCACCTCCAGTTCCATAAACAAGACCACGCAAATCGTCAACTTCAGAATTAAAATCTAATTCAAAAGAATGGACAATAGGTGGATTGTGAAAAGCTGGAAAATTCGACACAAATGAGGGATACTGAGAGCTTTTACTGCGTTTGAAGCTATCACAATCATAACGATGAGATGGAGGATAGCTAATGGAAGATATTCTGTGTGAGTGAAACTGCTCGGATTCATTGAAGAAATCAGCTTGCTGAAAAAAATAATGAAATCTAGGTTCAGCAAAGCTTAAAAGCTGTACACAACAAAATAAGCCAAACCGATCATATTATGAAATGCTACAATAACATAAATATAACTAAAAAGGCTGTTTCATGTAGTGGACTGAAACTCTCAAAAACAAGCCAAGAATCTTTTGTAATTCAGTTATATCCGATGGTTAAAGCAATTAATCTAATATTACCGTAAATTATATGCATATAATTAGTTATCAGTTAAATAATATCAATTACTGTCAGTTTGATGGATTCAGATTATATCTATTGACCGTATATTTAAATTGACAAATATCTCATCTTCATTTGTGAAATCATTTTGATTGATTGTGAATCAGTAGTTAGTAAATAAATAAGTTTTCCTCTGAATTCTTACTTTCTTCCTTGAGTCGAGCAATATCAGTACCAAGTAGCGATTCCTCACTAATTATAACAAATGGCAGCACATACATTTTAAAGTCATTACCTAGGCAGTTTTGGGACTGATAGCAAATTGCAGTGCCTCCACATATATTCCAGTTCGCTTACATCTAACTTGGTTAAGCCCTTTCGATTAATTTATTTATCCAAGCCATTTGTATAGCAACAACTCATATGTACCATTGGTATTTTTTATTATCTGGTTTGTATGAGCTTATACGACTGAGCATCGTTTACGCCTACGCGCTTACTCATCCTCTTCGCTTTAATGTTAATCTCTTAACATCCCCATGAACTCACATGATTTGTATCGCTTGCTTTTGACCTTGTCAATCATTCGTCGCTTTTATTCATGTCTGTGCATACCTATTTCGCTTGTCATATATCTGTCTTATTTATGCCTGACTATATATTCTTAGTCATGCTCTATCTCTTTGAGTTGGCTCTTAGCCTTCTCCAATCCGCTTCGCTTTGTGGTGTGTCCCGAATAAACGTATTCATCAATACGAGTTCATGTTCTGATTTATAAACCGAGCTTAAGAACACGCAGTAATTCGACGCACTACACCATCACAGCTATAATGTAGCCATGATAGACTATAAAAAGCAATAACCTAAAATCGGACAACTTTGAGAACTATCGGATACTGTACCCGTGTATACTGTTTGTTAACCTGCAGCCAGTTACTCTGCACCATATGAAAAAGCCAGAGAACATACAACAATTAAAGACTTTAGTCGAATACTATTATCCGGGCTTAGGACCAGCAGTAACCCAACAAAACAATCCAAGTTGAGTGTGAATATGATCTAGCTCATCTGTTCTACACACAGTAAAAATGCCGGTGACGACAGACGCTGTGACAGTAATCTCTGCAGCATTAGGCCTCAGTTTTCACAAGGCAAAAATCGTGAGCCTTAGACCCAACACTCAATGGAGTCGCCCTGGAAGATATGGAAACTTTCACATACGCGGGTAGTATTATCAAAATACAAGCAGGATCAGATGGAGATGAGGGGGCACAGACTGGAAAACCAGGGATCGCATTCTCACAAGTTAAGAACATCTGTGACCCGAAGCAACTGTCGACTGACACTAAATCCAAGAATTCCAATACAAACCTCAAGAAGGATCAACCGTAAGATACTGAAACTAGGAAAACTACAGCAACCATCAACAAAGGTCCAGGTACTTAGAACCACCTGCCTATACAGGACAATCGAGATCCGTTGACCTGCCATCAATAGTGACAAACAAACTAGTATCCAACTAAAGAGCAAACTAGGAAAAGACGCCGGAGTTGGTAAAAAAAACACAAAATGCGAAAATCGTCACAAACGCATCACAAAGAAAGCCCTAACTTGAAATCCTTAAGCTTACGGAAAAAGAGGAAGACTAATGAACATATTGCCAACCGTAGCTGCTACTTTGATTGAACCGACCGAAGCTGCTACGTTGACGTGGTGGTCAGGCTTGCCTATCGTGATGACCCAACCGAGCTATATTGGCTGGAACATATGTTCCTGAAGGTTCTACCATGGCAGGTAGGCAGATTGAAGAACGATGAGACTAAAAGCATCTACTCAGGGTCTGAGGGCGAAGTCGTAATGCTCATTGTAGAAAGGTGTGACAGCAGTAAGGTATTTACCTTGGACAACCAGCAACTGCGGCGATGCTGGCTTCTCACAAGGAACCAAGAGGTTAGAAACGGTCGACCCTAAAAGTGTCACACACATGACCTTACCTCTCGGATTTGCGCCTCCAGCGGTAAGGCCTTTTAAACAAGAGCGGAGCTAATACCCTAAAAACATCTCATAAAAAGACCGTGCGTGACCGGAATCAAGCAGTTGTCCCTTGGGCTCTACGGTCACGCTCCCAGGTCTCCAAGACCAGAACTAACCTACCTTCTTTTTCAGATTCCTCTAGAAACACCCTTCCACGGTGTGGGCAGCCGAAAAGTGACAACCACCCTCATACCCGTAACAGCACACCAGACCAATCTGGTCGAAATCAAATCCTTCCTACACCCCCTAATATCTCTCTTATCTCCACGACTAACTCTTCTCAAATTCATTTATCACAGTGCACAGCTAATGCAGACGACACGAGTTCGCGAAACGTCGTTCCTGGTCTCCTTAGACCCCGCTCTAGACTACATGTTGGAGCATTTAATGTACGTACATTAGGTCAAATAGGGCAACAGGCTTCGTTAGCTAGGACTTTAGAATCTCGCTCCATCGATGTATGCTGCGTCTCGGAAACGCGCATACAGGATCCTAGTAAAGTCATTAATTTGGTTTCGCCTTGTCAAAATAAAGAAGCAGCTTGATTTACTCTTCGTGTATCCGGTAGCACTGATGCTGCTTCCAAGGGTCTTGCTGGCGTAAGCATAGCATTGAGTCGCAGAACTGGACAATCTCTTCTTGACTGGATCCCAGTAGATAGTCACTTGTGCGCTGTCCGACTAAATGGGACAGTAAGGACTCGGAAAGATAGGGTCACTCGCCGTTCCCTCTTCATTGTATCTGCCTATGCCCCCACTGACTGCAGTTCAGTCAGTCAGCGAGATGCAACGTAGAACTTTGTACATAAGTACATCAGTTCATGTTGCCATACCACATCAGCACAGAGAATTAATCGTCAATTCAAATCCAATAGTAGAAGAGTTAGTAAGGGTATTAGAAGTAATCGGAGAGGTTAGGATGAGAAGATACTATTCAAGAAGTGTGATTAAATGAGAAACCTTTAGAGAGTCGAAACTAGAGGGGTTGAAGAATCCAGAAGATTAGGATTTGAGAGAACACAAAGAATAAATGCACCGGCGCCATTGCGAACGATTTTGAGCCATGTCATTCAAGGTCTCTAACCATCGATTATTATCATCTCGCAGACCCCAACCAGGTAGTCGACAATTACCGACATGGCTAAGTCCACTCATCAATGACTTCATGGATTTCTGCCATGTTTTGGTTTGGCCGCCCCTAACTTTCTTCCAACCTATTCCTACACTACAAAACAAAGCTCGACGAGGCAGTCGGTGGTTGGGCATACGTAACAGATGTCTCAACTACCCCAACTGATGAAGTTTCAATACTCCGTCTATTGCTCTGCCATTCTTACCTAGCACCCGATTCTTAATAACAGCGTTGCTCACTCGGGTGTCCCACGATATACGAGCAATGCTTCGAAGACACCTATGATCGAAAACCAGTAACCTACGAATATCTTCCACTCTCACTGGCCATGATTCACAGCCATAAAGTAAGACAGAGCGAACCACTGCGCAGTACACTCGTCCTTTAGTCAGCAAACGGATATCTCGCCTACGCTATAAGTGACGCAAGTTGGCAAAAGTCAATCGAGCATTGTGTATCCGTGCTGAGATTTCGTCAGTCATCAGGCCATCGGCACTGATGAGACTCCCAAGATAAGTGAAGCGGTCTACACGCTCGACTACTTCACTCCTTATCACTAGTTTAGGTGCCGATGCAACCCAGTCTTGAAGCAACATTTTGCATTTCGAGGGGGAAAACCGCATCCCGAACATGCTTGCATTGTTGCTTAGGGTAGTCAGAAGACTCTGAATTTTGTCAGCGTCTTCACCAAGTAGGACAATGTCATCGGCATATTCTAAGTCAATAAGCGAGCCACCTGGTTGAAGGTCTACTCCTGAAAATTCAGACGAGGATAATGTTATGTCTAGGAGCATGTCTATGATAAAATTAAACAAGAATGGAGCAAGTGGACATCCCTGACGCACACCACTTGAAGTAACGAATTCCACTGACAGTTCGCCATAAGCCCTCACTCGACCAGTGGTGTTCGAGTAGACAGTTTTATAATGTTAATGTACTTCTTTGGTACACCTTTCAATGACACTGCCACAGAACCTCACGATTCACTGAGTCAAATGCCGCTTTTAGGTCCAGGAAAACAACTATTGTAGGACGCCTAAATGTGTGTCTGTGTTCCAGGGCCTGTAGTAGTGTGAAAATGTGATCTATACAGCCACGTCCAAGTCGAAAACCAGACTGGTTTTCTCTAGTCTGCTCTTCACAAGCACTAGTAAGGCGTCTAAGTATAATCGAGGCTAACAATTTAGAAACTATATTAGTTAGACTTATTTCCCTGTGATTGTCACAAGAAGACTTCTGTCCTTTCTTACTGGTTTTCGATCATAGGTGTCTTCGAAGCATTGCTCGTATACTGTGGGACAACCGAGTAAGCAATGCTGTCGTTAGGAAACGAGTTCTAGGTAAAGATGACAGAGCAATAGACGGAGTATTGAAACTTCATCAGTTGGGGTAGTTGAGACATCTGTTACGTATGCCTATCCACCGACTGCCTCGACGAGCTGTTTCGTGGTGTAGGAATAGGTTGGGAGAAGGTTAGGGGCGGCAAGACCGAAACATGACAGAAATCCATGAAGTCACTAACAAGTGGACTGGGTCATGTTGGTAGATGTAGGCTACCTGGTTGGGGTCCGCGAGATGATAATAATCGATGGTTAGAGACCTTGAATGACATGGCTCGAAATCGTTCGCAATGGCGCAGGTGCATTGATTCATTGTGTCCTCTGAAATTCACCTTCTAATGAAAGTGATTCTCTTAGTAATGTTGACCGAATAGGAAAAAGAGGGAAATTACTTAATATATAGTCACAAAGAAACTTAAAATTTAGAAGCGCGTTGGTAAAAAGGGAGTCTACATCAAATGAATGCATGGCCTTTCCCTTAATATTAATGTCATCAAGAAAATCAATTAGTTCAAGTGTATCTTTCAGGGAAAACTTACACAATTTATTACAGTTTGGGCTGAGTAATTTAGCTAACCACCTGGATAGCTTATGTGTAGGTGAGCCGCACATAGATAATATTAGTCTCAATGGATTATTAGGTTTATGAATTTCAGGTAACCCACATAAATTCGGGAGTTCAGAACCAGTGGGTTTTAACATGTTGAATTCATCCTTGTTGAGCAGCTTCATCAGATTGAAGTTAACTGTTGATTCTAATTTTATAACCTCATTATTGGATCAAACATTAGTCAAAAACTCCCTTTTATCACTAAGGATGGATAACATTTTCTTTTTATAGCCACACTTATTGATTACAACTACGCCAGAATCTTTGTCAGTTTTCAGAATCACAATATCTGGTCTTTTACGGAGGTTCCTCAAGGCAATGAAATGTTTGGATGCTAAAATATTCCTATGTCTTATTTTGGAACCGTGAAATTGGTGAGCAATATCAACCCAATTTCGCTTTCAACCAGTTTTAATTATCCGAAGTGGTTAGAAAAAAAGGGCTTAGTTGAGTAAAGAGATTCTCAAAGTGAGCATCAATCGAGAAATCAGAAATTTTGGCATGAGGTATGGAAAAATTAAAACCGGGAGATGGAGCTTCTTTTTCAAATACAGAAAGTTCAACGGCTGATAAATTTGTTACATACCTTATGTCTATGTGAACTTTTATGTAATTGACCTTTAATTCATTTATTATAAAATATCTTGACAAGTATATATGTGAACAGATTGTTCGAAATGTATAACGCAAATACATCACATTTTTCAGATCAATTAAGTCTTCTCGTGGCTCTATCAAAATTTATAAAAAATTTTTAAAAACTGACAAGATTGTAAATCTTGATTTAAAGATATCTTATAAAATTTAACAAATACAATAATCAATAAGTAGATTATGATACGAAAACTAGGTACTTAAAATGCTTACACTATCTTCAGAAGATAAATCAGACGTAAAATCATGAATTTCAGACTCTTGTAACTCAAAGATTAACCTGAGAGTAGCTTCGGCATCTGGGTCACCTTCAATAATAAAACCAGCAAGTCCATAGTTTATTTCATGCATTACATTATGGTTCAGATCTTTATAACACGATAAGTCTCCGGTTTCGGTCGATGGATCACTAGATTCGTCGCCATCTGAATTGCACACATAATTAGGTTTATTTTTATGCATTCCTAATTTGAAATTGTATTCAAGGAACTTTGCAACAAGATTTAACGTTCGATTAAGCAGGAATAAGTCATCAGTTTTCAAAAACTTGTAAGTGCGAATATGACAACCAATGGCTTTTAAGCAACTAGAAAATGAACGAAATGAACGGAAACATTACAAATAATCTAAAAGAAATACGTAGCTAAAAAAAAACTACTTCTCAAAGGAAAATATTAAAGACAAACAAGAGTGGCTAGCTAATTATCACTAGAAACATGTTTCAGAATTTTACAACAACTAATTACTTAGCCAGTTGATCTCAGATTCTACATCAAATAAAAACAGTAGTATATATCCTCGAGAAATAAAGAAAGAGCAGCAAGCTAGTGACCAGACTGAACTCTTTTGAAGAATAACAAACGTTAACAGCTGGATGAAAATTTAAACCCCAACATTAGCTGCTACCTGGACGTGGTGGTCAGGCTTGCATATCGTGATGACCCAACCGAGCTATATTGGCTGGAACATATGTTCCTGTAGGGTCTACCATGCCAGGCAGGCCGATTGAAGAACGATGAGACGGGCAGGGCACTTCACGGATCAGTTCAACTGGCCTTCAGCCGCACTACGCTTGCTCACAATCTCTAGTCATGCTAAATGGCAAATCGATATAAGTCCTTGGACTCTGAATGAAGTTGTATAAGCTATAGGAAATATGAAACGAGGAGAAGCAGCAGGGCCTGACAGGCTTAACCCTGAGATTTTTGAGGATGGTGGTCCAGTTTTAGCAATTAGACTGACTGAGATCCTAGATAGAATATGGGAACTGGGCGTAATCCCATCTGACTGGTCTCAATCACTGATTGTCCCAGTCTACAAGAAAGGACAGAAGTCCTCTTGTGACAATCACAGAGGAATAAGTCTAACTAATATAGTATCTAAAATATTGGCCTCAATAATACTTCAACGCCTAATGAAAGCTCGTAAAGAGCCAACTAGAGAAAACTAGGCTGGTTTTCAACCTGGATGTGAATGTATAGACCACAATTTCTCACTACGTCAGGTCCTAGAACAGAGACACTTGTTCCGACGCCCCACAATAGTAGTAATTCGTAGGCTATTAGTATTCGAAGCATTGCTCGTATATCCTGGGACAGCCGAGTAAGCAATGCTGTCGTTAGGAAACGAGTTCTAGGTAGGAATGACAGATCAATAGATGATGTAATGAAACCTCATCAGTTGAGGTGGTTGAGACATCTGTTACGTATGCCTAACTACTGACTGCCTCGACGAGCTATGTTTCGTGGTGTAGGAGTAGTTTGGAAGAAAGCTAGGGGCTGCAAGACCGAAACATGACAGAAATCCATGAAGTCACTAACAAGTGAACTGAGTCATGTTGGTAGATGTAGACTAACTGGTTGGGGTCCGCCAGACGAGTCACCGATGTTTAGAGACCTTGAACAACATGGCTCAAAATTCATTGGTTTCTCAAATTCTAACCTTCTAAATTCCTTATCATCTCCATCCTTCGCTTTCTAAATTTATCTCACTGAATTATATTTCTCGAATCATATCTTCGAAACCCTAATCTTCTTCATTACTGCCAATACTTCTCCTATCGCTACGAATATTGGATTTGAACTGACAGCTGTCTGTGCTGATGGGGTATGGCAACCTGAACAGATGTACGTACATATGAAATTCTACATTGTAACTATCTGACTGTCTTCTAGATGTAATTATGACCACATCGATAACTAATAACTGAGAATAGAGCTACGTTAAATATACAAACGTAAGAGCCACGAATACTTAACTCGCGCTTTACTACAAATTAATAAGGTTGACAAAAAAAACAGGGTTTTTCTCTCAAAATAATTCACTTAGAAGGAAATGAGTTTAATAATTGCTTGAGAAAAATGTGTTGTCACCCTTATTATTGAAATGGATCGTAATATCTGTAATGTGGTCATCAAAATTAAAATAATTTGTCCAACATTTCTACCAAATTTTCTGAAGTACATTGTAAATTCAGTTTCCCTTGTGACATGTTCATGCCCTTCAACCAGAGTTAAAAGTTCAGGGTATGTAAAAGGTTTCTTGAACTGAGACACCAGAAGAATTGATTTCTTGTAAGAAAATGAAATCCTTATATATAGAATATTCTTAAAAATACATAATAAAATATCATAGGCGAATGGATGAAATTATTTTGTTTGTAACTCACTATCCAGTCAAGTAAGACCTTATTTTCAGGTCCAGTTTCCGTCCATCGTATCAGAATGTGATATAATATCACTATGTCAACATTACAATCACGAGTTCAGAGGCTACTATGATAATATTAGCAGTTACAATTATTTTCATTTATTTGATTCCGATTTGTTTTTTCTTAGAATCAGGCCTCATATTAAATGTAATCATAATTATAAGACTGGAATAAAGCATCAAACGACCGGACCTGGCAAAAAGTACAAGTCGGAAAAATGATCATGAAAGGATCATAGGATCATTGACAAGTAGCTGAGAATATTAAATGACATTTTTATCTTTCTCTAACTGATCAAATGTGACTCACCAGGATAGACGATAGCCTTTAATATCATACTGAAGTTTTGTAAGTCGACGACATGGTGGCTTAAAAACAATTTTTCTCCACAAAACAGGAGATTGAAATGCAGAATACCACTTTTTGCACACACGAGCAGCTCGCGAACGTTCATTCCAATTCAAATAAATAAAAATTTGCTCTAGGATCAAATCCGGTATATTTATCATCAATAAAGATGAGATTAATTTTTCAGGAAAAAATAAATTTAAGATAGCCAAGAAAAGGTCCAACTTTGTCAAAACCTTTGAAAAGGTAGTATTTTGAAGCCCGATAACATTATAAGGATATTTCGACAACTGTATAGCATCAGGAGATTGGATGCAACTGAAGAAAATAAACAAAACTCAGAAAATTCTTAGAGCCTTAAACGTTTAGATAAAATCTCAAAGTAAATTATATACTAAACAATGTCAATGAAAAAAATCCCTGTTGTTTAAAATCGAAAGGAGCAACTGAAAACAAGTAGCAATGTTGATATCTCACATTTTATATCGAAACGATTACTCCTTTCAGTCAGTCAGTCAGTTGCAACGTAGAACTTCGTACGTATGCACATAAGTTTATGTGGCCATACCACATTAGCGCAGAGACCATTACAATCATGCAATGTTTATTTAAAAAAAATAGCCATTTGACCACAAAATGGAGGCTTCACAAGGATACTAACAGGGAGCAATAACCGAATGCCATAATATTAAGAAAAGATCTCCGAAAAAATTGCATCGAATATATGTAACTACAGTAGGGAAGTACAGATTACTCTACATATGTGGAGTGCCAATCTGTGTGTCAGTCGATCACAATCACTATTTAAACACATTCGTACAAGGATGCACCAAAATATATACGTGCTAGACAATAATGTGAATCAAGAACAGACATGAAAAGAAATTAGTGCATGAGTAATGGTAGCAATAGCAGTTCCAATGACCTGTGGATTAGACCTCTAAGCTGGAGTAACTTCCTAAGAAAACGGCCTCAGCTATAGAGCTGAGACAACACTATTTTATTAGATATTCATGAACAGTGGATCGAGTTGTTATGTTAGAAAAAACTATCCAAGTGTAAAGCAGTAGTGTGAGAGACTGTCTTTTCAGTGTTTCCGCCTATATCCCAACAGACTGCAGTCCAGATGCAGTTAAGCTGGAAGTAATAGTTTCATTTGGTGAATGCAAGAAACTCTTTCAGATCATCCAACATCATGGTAGCAAGAACTTTGGTGTGAGTGAAACAATCTGTGAAGTTATTGAGACGCCAATAATCAACATCTACCAACATCCTGGACGATGGTCAGAGTTCTTGGAGGAACAGCTCGAAAATCCTAAGCCTGATCCGGAAATAATACACCTCCACAGAATATTTGAGGATTAAAAATTAAGTTAGCTCAACCATCAGGTACTTGGGCGTGAAACACTCCCAGTGTAAGGAGTAACAACACTACCTAACTGTCCAAACCAAAGTAAGCGGAACAGGTTGAAACCTAGAACTTTGTGGTCTAAATATGTATCGTCCCTATTTTGAAAAAGGGTTTATGTTATCTGTGCAATAACTAACGTAGAATGAATCAACTTTTGCGTCCAAATTACGGACTCCTGTTACACTCCTTAGATTGTTAAGAACCTATGGAAGATTGGCTCATGAAGAGCTTGTTGATTTTCGTCCCGGTCGAGGATATACTGATCATGTCTGCGCCTTCCACAAAATGTTGAAGCACTGCCATACTTCTAGTAAGCAAACAGCAGTTGTGTTTATTAACATCAGAGCCGCCTTCGATTCTTTGGAGAACTTTTCCTCTTCAACTCTGCTGTCAATGACGTTCTGGGAACATCTCCAATGGAAGTACTTTAAAACCACTCCCCATGCCCTGGATCACGTAGGACACTGTAGTGCAGTAGGTCTACACATCATGACAGCATACCTCACAAGTTCACCAAAATTCTAAGGAGTTATCGTATGTCATATCTGAAAATTTTTTAACACCACTGGTAAGTTGTTATTAAATAAAATTACTTTCTTACAAAAGACTACAAAAAAAACTGAGAAATTGTAAAGTGCGCTTACTGAGGTACTGGGTCACAACACCACCTGGATAGACCGAAATGACAAAATGACGTATCACACGGAAACCTGAGAGGGAATTTGATAATTTTAAGTAATCGGAAGATTGTTAGGGTTGTAAAACGAAAATGGAATGACTAATTGTGCACCACCCAAGAGTCAGAAGTAGACGAAATGGAGGCTGGATGTTTTCTAGTTAAGTTGTCATCTGGCAACATCTTGACTGGAAACTTTCCACTCATAGCTGAATAAGTATACATCCAGATGTTTATAAATCAGTTCTCAGAAAAAGAGGTGTTTTCACCACCGATTCCATCATTTTCGGAAACCGTTGCTAACGAGTACGTCAGAGTCGCACTAAATTTTATACCAGTAGGTCGCCCAGTTGTAACGTCTTAAGTAATGTTATTTTGACAGGAAACACAGAAATATCATGAGGTGCTCATCCACCGTTGTGATGAATAGAAATAGTTGAAACTCGAAGTCAGTTTCGTTGACACTACCACACAGAACACAAGAGGAACTACAGACTCGTGTACCTGTATTGCAAGAAACCCAACTCCATGATCGGCTCGTAAGCTAGGACAGTTATTTTCGGAAAGGTTATGAAATTATCGGAGATCAGTGGTGATTATCCTCGGTAGTCCATGAAAACTACTTTAGCATACGTATCAAAGGCTGAACTAGCTGTCACTTATACTTTACATAGAATTAAAAGCAAAGTGGGTATAAGTAGACGATTCGCACCAAGACAATATTACAGTTAACATTCCTTGTTGAGTTTAAAAGTGCGACCTGTCCCGAGAAGGCTATTACACAAGCGACGGATGAAGTAAGCAAGGCTTTCTCGCACAACGTACAGGATAAAGTAAATAAGTATGGATGACGATCCAAAGAAAATGTAAGCTTACGTTTTAAACTCATTACAGAATACCTGTATTTGTGCTCATTAATTTTAATTAAACGTTCATCTTCGAATTGTTGTTTACCACACATCTTTATAGTTTTCTGCTGGTTTTACAAGTGTTCGCTGAATGAATTGCAATCCTTTTAATTCAGTAAATACATTTACATTTACTTTTTGTATATGTAACATGACATTGTTGGCTCTGGAAACGTGCATTCGAAGGTTGAAGTATTGCTATTACATCAGGAATTTGTTTGACTACTATTATCGTCAAACATTTTTGATGTTACGTTAATGAAGTAGATGAATGTTTTTTTCTTTGTAGAATACTTCTACGAGAGTTTAACTGGAACATTAACGACTACATCCAAAAAAGGAACGAATATAATGACAAATTAACACTTAAGAATGTACCCGAACTTTTTTTATCCTCAATAACACATGTCTTTTAACAAGCATTATATTTAAAAACGTTTAGTATTGCAAGTGTTCAAATGTTATTGTCCTTTAAGAACCATTAAATTACTTCTCGAGAGAACGCTCATTCAGGCTATATTAGTCAACGCATCTATAAAGATGGGCGAACAATTGCGGAATAAATTAACAATTGCGTTCAGTTTTCGAAATCAACTGCAAAAAGGAATAAAGGTATATAAATTGCGGAAAGTTTGCGTGGCAACCGACAGAATGAACATGATTTGTGCAAAGCGTCTAAGATCTCTGCGGTTTTAACAGAATTTATAGTAATTTACAAAGTTCTTTCACTGCTGTTAAGTGGATTTCCAAAAGCTTAGTTGGAATTGTGGGGGAAGTTGAGAAAGATTCTTGGTTTTACCACAAGACAGTGGAAAATTTGCATGCAAACCAGATACCATAAGAAACCCTGCAGTTCTTAGTCACATTTTCCAGCGCTTTTTGTAGGAAATTCCCCAGACAAATCTTAAAACCGAAAAAAGTTTTTCCAAAATTTGGATATTGGGGAGCCTGACAGATCATTAGGGCAATACCTAAGCAACGCAGCAGTAAACAACTTTCATTACAGCTGCATTAACTGGCAAATTGGAGGTCACTAAACAACAACCGATTTTGAGATGAACAAGAAAGCAAAATGTTCGAGTTACTTCGTCGAAAACAAGGCTGGATGACGAATTGTAACGAATTACATGAACTATGCGCCTAAGAACATCTTCCATATATCCAATATATTTTTCAATTGCTAGAAATCTGAGGAATGGCAACAATAACCACTAGCAAGTCGCAAGACACGCATAAGGCACAGCTTTTCCACGAGGGAGATGATAATCCGTGTGTGAGTACGTGATCGTCAAGTCTCTTCACAAAACTGTCCACTGAGGGGATGTGTCCAACTCTGCTGGGAGAGCATTCCAAGATGCAACGACTCTTAATGAGAAGAAGTGTCCATGAACCTGAGTACTCGCTCTTTGATGCACAATTTTTCGAAGATTGCCTCGAAGGGAGTCGCGTTGATGCATCGGTAAGATGCTCACGTTGGGATGGTGTGGCGAGCTTAATATCACCTCTGATTCCCCAGTAACTCAGAGGGAATGATCCCAAGTGCTGGAGTCTATCTTCGTAAGGTTTGTTCTTCAACCCTATCGCCCATTTCGTTGCTCGTCTCCGCACTCAATCCAAGAGATTTATGTCTCTTTTAAGCAGATGAGGTGCAACGACGTTGTGAACGTCAAGGTGTTGGCATGCATATGTCTTAAACAGCGTTAAGAATAATTCTGTGGTGATAGCACCAATTTGTCTTCACATAGAGTGAAGAGTTGCATTTGCCTTGGCTGAGTCACCTATATAGTTCGGGCTTGCATGGAGGCTTTTTGTGGTTATTAAACCGAGATCACGCTCTGAGGCGACGTTAGGGAGTGGACTTCCATTGAGGGTGTAAACCGTTTGCGTCATGTGGGGTACAATATACATCACGCGACACTTCGATTGGTTGAGTTTTAAACCGTTTTTCACTGCCCATTCCCAAATACATGTATGGTCGGATTGGACTTCACGAATTAACAAGACATCAGCAAGCAGATTCACATGAGTTTCTATGAACTTTATTTAGTCTAGCGAGAGAATTTCCATGGCTGCCGGTGGAATAATTGTGGGTTGATAGTGTTACGGGAGAAATGAAGACATTTGGCTGATTAAAACCTTTATATAAATATCATTAATTTTACTGTGTTTTTTGGGTATATTTGTTTTACTTTACTTATGAACTTGTTTGATTTATTATTTTCGGACATTTCGGTTTCTGTTCGTCTTGGTTTGGTAATTTGGAGTTCTTGCTCCAGGAACCTATAAAACTGAAGAATTTTTGTTACGTACAAGTTTTGCTCCTTCCCGTTATTGAAGTACAGTATGTCGATCTATTTGCAATTCACAAACCCAAATTAACAACAGAACCAAACTCCAAAGTTGGGTACCAAATTTTATTCGCAATCCACAAATAGTCGACCAAAATGTCGTTCTAACACCAATAATCATAATAACTACAAATACCTTCAGTTTTATAGGTTCCTGGAGCAAGAACTCCAAATTGCCAAACCAAGACGAACAGAAACCAAAATGTCCGAAAATAATAAATCAAACAAGTTCATAAGTAAAGTAAAACAAATATACCCAAAAAACACAGTAAAATTAATGATATTTATATAAAGGTTTTAATCAGCCAAATGTCTTCATTTCTCATGTAACAGATAGCACCAAGTGTTTTTTCACATAAAGTGAAGCGTCGCATTCAATAGGAACCTTGGAGTTCGTGCCATCGACGTATGTTGCACCTCCGAATCGCGCACATAGCACAGTCTTTTATTTGATCTAACACTGTCAAAATATAGTCCATGTCGTCCCATGATGTCGTTGTATCTCGTGTTATCAATTCCATTCTCGTCGTCCAGATCTCCTATCAAATTGGTCAGACCGTCGGCTGCGAAATTCTTCAGGACTGACTGCAGCCTCTCATTGAATTGATCTTTATCGTTTTCATTGTAATTGTAGGTGTGCACTTCTAAATGAATGCCACTTGTTGTAATTCCATAAATCTTTGTCTTTAAGGATGCTTTGATATCCTCGGTCCATGTTTTTGGGGTTCTTTGTACGGCATCAGTTCAGATCTTGTGTGAGGCATCTTATCATGGCTGGAGTACAACAGCCAACTGGTTGTATATTTTCATTTCCGCAGCAATTAGAGTGGTTCTTCTTATAATGAATATTGCTCAAACATTCCAAGCAATTATGCTAATTGTTGCTCTGGTTATAAGAATTGACAGCGGCATGGTAATTTTTGCAGAAACTGGGCTTTGACCATGAGGCGTGATAACGCTACTGTATGAAGACCTTCAAACTGTCAAGGCAGGGATGATGAGTTTTGAACTATTTGTTCCGGTTTGTGACGCAGCCCTCCCCCCTTATTCAGGCTTCAGGTTGGCAGTAACTGTGTGAGTGCTGTAGATAGAGTCAAAGGATATTTCCCTTAACGTTTGTTTATGTGCAATATTATTTTTAAAAATGACTTAGGGTTCTCTGGAAAGCTCGACAAACCTGGTTGTTATCTTCATACATATTTGTATTTACGTATCCAGCTATTAAGCTATCACTAGTCAAACGAACGTTTAGCATAAGTGAGGAAATGTCGTTTCGCTGCCGTTATAGTATGCATTCAAACTACAGTAAATACTTGACTTAAATGTCGTATGTTTTTATCCTAACTACATATGCCGCGCGGCCAAATGTTAGCCAAAGTAATAATTAATTAACAACCATCTTCGAGTCACCACTCTCTAAATCAATTAACCCACCATAAACTGAAGTTCCAGTGTATTTATTGTAGATCCAAACATTTTAATCAGCACCGTTTCTTTACAGTGAAGGTAAGCCAAATCAAAAAATATTTTTCAATGCGAGAGTCAGACAAGTTTCTGGAACCACATAATCAGTAAACAAAACCATTATCACCGTTGATGGTAGCGTATAGCATACCGTCAAAGGATCTATTTTAAAGACCTGTCTTTTCTAATTGTTTAGGGTCGAAGCCGTTGGAAGGCAACACTTTTAATGCGCCTACTTCATAGATTTAAACTATGTCAAAGAGTCGTAAATTCGATGGGTAGATTTGTTGGTTTAGTATATTAGGAAGTCTGAGCCAAATTTTTACTGAAGTATTCCATAGTTGTTTTATTGATGAAGCTTTCCATCATTAATATTTGGGAATAATATTCTTAGCTATGTTAGTACTTTACACATGCTAAAGGCTAGGCCCCCCACTAATAAAAACCTGTCTGTCAGTGCATTTCAGCGAAAGCCAATAAAGATTACAACGTATTTATTACTCAAAACAGAGCAATTCACATTGTGTACTTAGGATTAATTGGCTGCGAGCAGCGCTTCTTACTTTGAGGTACGCTGAAGCCAGTTTATCGATTATCAGAGTTTCAGCTTTCCAGTAATAATGTTGTTTACTGGGAAACTAAAATTTTAGCAATCCTTTTTGTGCAAAACAGAAATCTTTTCAAATAGTTAAGGAGATCAGTGTTTTTTGCACACTGAAATCATATATCAATCACTGTTAAACAACCATCAGAAAGCTGAAAGCACTGGACAGCCGTTTCGTCCTGGTAAGAGACTCATCAGCAGCGCACATCCAAGACTCCCGCACCTCGCAGGATTTGAACACTGGACTTTTGGTCCTGCGCGCGAACGCTTAACCTCTGGATCACATAATTATGTCAGCATATCTTTGAGTTATACAGAGCAGTGGGATTTCTGACTGGACAATCCGTAACAAACCTAGCGGTCACTGAGGAAGCAAAATATCAACCTAATGCACAGACTGTAGAATCCATTTTGAAGGCTCTGTTTTGGGAAAATCCCTCCATGTATCCATTTGTAATATGTTCTTACTGACTCTTTCTATGCTACATTTTGTTGGTCTGTTTAATACCATTTTGGGATGTTAATATTTGTATTTTGTTACAGTTTCTACTTTTGTACCTTTATTGGAGTTTCTATGTTTTCTACTGAACTGTATCATGTTGTTTAAATTGATACTTAATTATGGCTTCAGCCATTTTGGAATTGATACCCTAGCGGGTGAACGTGAATCTAGACTGAAAGGGTGCAATTTCGAACATATACGGAAGCATTCTTCACATTAACACATTGTGGTAATTTCGACAGAGAACAGTGTGATATTGTTTAGGTAATGAGCTGTAAATTTTGATCAATAATAGTACAGTTTCTTACCTAGATAAATTGCTTTCTTCTGAGGATATCAGGGCGCGTATCCAAACTTCTGTAGTGAATGAGAACACAGGTGGGGTAACCGAATTGTATTTAACGACAATTACAGAGTTACTCAGTAAAATCGGACAACCATATCGTAAATCGTTCATTTGCAAAAGATCAGTTCATCCTATGGAACTGGACTGTTCCTGTTGCCAAACATCAATCCACTGTCACTATTCATGCGTTTCATAAAAATTCCATTGTTTTCTAACTCTTCCTTTCTTGATCTTCCCCACATATCATGCTACCAGACTTTACGTTGACACTCACGTTATATACTACTTATAAGTAGTTCGCACCACAGCACCAAACTTCTAGAACTGTTTTTTGAATTCACAATCCACTCTAAAACTTACACAGATGACATCTGCAGCGAGCTCCCTTTGGTCCAAGCGCCAATCACTGGACGTGCTTCATCACAAATGCTCGGTTTTACGAGGTGCTAAACACGCAACCAGAAAAGTAATATCAAGTTTATAAAATAATCACTTCAGATTTTTGGCATTGTAGACTACCAAATACCTGAAACCTTGCCTAAAAAACAAGAATCGTGCGCAGAGGAATCAGTCGGTTTATACTAGATTACGGAAAAACAATGAATATTGGACAGTAACAGTAGTGACCTCAAGTTCTGATCATTAGATGACAACCTCCGACTATCAAAGAACTATCATATAGATTATTGTGAACTATTTTGAACGATATTAATTAAACCCAGGGTACACGAAGCGTACACAGAAACTTTCAGGACTTCGGACTATAACAGAACCAATCAGTTGGACCTATAACGGTCTTTTGACGATCCCTCTACACCGAGGCTTTCACATAACACCAGAAATACATTTATAAACCAGTAGTCCATAAAACTATAGAACTAAATTTATCTTTCACGTTCGAATTCAATAAGTTCATTCGGAAAACTATCCTAAAAGCAAGAAAGGTTTGTCCATAATCAGTCAATGAAACTGTTTATTTACATTAACCGAAACATTCTGTGAAATAGGGTTCCACCGGCAGCCATGGAAATTCTCTCGCTAGACTAAATAAAGTTCATAGAAACTCATGTGAATCTGCTTGCTGATGTCTTGTTAATTCGTGAAGTCCAATCCGACCATACATGTATTTGGGAATGGGCAGTGAAAAACGGTTTAAAACTCAACCAATCGAAGTGTCGCGTGATGTATATTGTACCCCACATGACGCAAACGGTCTACACCCTCAATGGAAGTCCACTCCCTAACGTCGCCTCAGAGCGTGATCTCGGTTTAATAACCACAAAAAGCCTCCATGCAAGCCCGAACTATATAGGTGACTCAGCCAAGGCAAATGCAACTCTTCACTCTATGTGAAGACAAATTGGTGCTATCACCACAGAATTATTCTTAACGCTGTTTAAGACATATGCATGCCAACACCTTGACGTTCACAACGTCGTTGCACCTCATCTGCTTAAAAGAGACATAAATCTCTTGGATTGAGTGCGGAGACGAGCAACGAAATGGGCGATAGGGTTGAAGAACAAACCTTACGAAGATAGACTCCAGCACTTGGGATCATTCCCTCTGAGTTACTGGGGAATCAGAGGTGATATTAAGCTCGCCACACCATCCCAACGTGAGCATCTTACCGATGCATCAACGCGACTCCCTTCGAGGCAATCTTCGAAAAATTGTGCATCAAAGAGCGAGTACTCAGGTTCATGGACACTTCTTCTCATTAAGAGTCGTTGCATCTTGGAATGCTCTCCCAGCAGAGTTGGACACATCCCCTCAGTGGACAGTTTTGTGAAGAGACTTGACGATCACGTACTCACACACGGATTATCATCTCCCTCGTGGAAAAGCTGTGCCTTATGCGTGTCTTGCGACTTGCTAGTGGTTATTCTTGCTATCTCGTCATATCAGTAACCTAATCTACCTCGCCTAATATCTCTATTGTCTCTCCCTTGCTTAAACTCGCATAATCTTCACTACCAATTAACAAAATAACTTCTCTATTTACTGACGTAGTTCTTCTTGTTAGCATTAGAATTTTCTCCTTGTTATTCTCCATATTGCAACTAACTGAATTCCGGTCTAGCAATGTGATAGCTGCTGGTACCCAGAAACCCTACTGCCGTGAAACAAACGTTTTCATTCAAATCACAGGAGATACAAACTCACAATCAACTACCAAGTGACTAGAATAAGACATTAGAGTGGCTAGACCCCGATTCATTGGACACTACCAAACACATGGAACAGTACTGAAAGAAGAAGAATCGAGCGCGAATGGTTTATACTAGCTCGTGAAAATGATATTGGACATTAGTTCAATAAAATGGATGTATTCAAAGCTTGACAATGGACCATTGTTGAAGCCAGATCCCATGTCTACACTTAGGAAAGCAAAACAAACTTGAAATAAGAAATGTGCCGCCAGCACTTTAAATAATTAGATAGACTTGTGTAACACATTCGAAACTGTGCGCTACCAACCCCTAGCTCGGATTTCCAGCCTGTCTTAATCACCTGATTGTGTTACTAAAGAGTGCAGAAGATTGTCTTCTCTAATAAAAGTAAGTGCATACAATTTGCTTACTGATGCGTCACCTCAATTCTTTCTTCCAGATATCTACACATAGTGCATCTCCCAATTACACAAGGTACGTGCTGGTTAAACGCAAATTTAGAAAAGGCTGAAGTTACACCAGTGAAATCATGGTATGTATCACGTTTCTTTATTCCAGCGAAAACTAAAACTGGTTGGTTAACTCACATTATTCTTTTCAGTTATTAATTGCAATTGCAGTATCTTCTGCTATATATTAGCGATGCTCATGTTATTACTGAGTACTGATACACACATCGTTATTCGGGAAAGGAGATTCTTACATGAGAAAAGCTCCAGTTCTATTATAAGTATGAAAGTTTAAATTGTATTGTCTCGTAGTTGGGATGTATTAACGTCGTATTACCACCAATTTACTTGAAATATTTAGACGTAGCACATCAAGTAGAGAAAGGGCAAAATGAACTTAGTAGCTCGAAGTATCTATCTGTGTACACAGCATTATTGAATTTTCTGAGTTAACTGCTATAGGTCCCTACTATTGCGCTATAGTGTCTGATAACCCCGGTCGTTTGACAAGTGGTTAAAGAACTTGCCATGTTCCGAACTAATCTCTTGTCTTGAAGAAAAGATTGTGATGTCTAGTCGCTCTATAGTTATAGGCAGAGATTTGGAATGCAGCAATCAAATTCCTTGTCACCATTGTCCGGAAATCGTGTAGATCCCGTTTAATTATTGGATATAGTCTATTGTTTCGCGACCGTGTTGAAATTCTTATCAATAAACTTGATTACTCGGTCTGGAATCTGGCAATAGGAAACAGTTTCCACTGCGTGGAAGACCGATACGTGACAACAGCCCTCATACTACTAACAGCACACGTCATCGTCTTCACAATTAAATCTCCGGGCAAAAGTTCAACCCCTGAGAAGTCAAACGATAAAAGTGCCGTCTCTAAATACTTGCCAATGACAAAGCTGGATAAGAATGAAGAAGGTTGACAACCCTAACGAATACTATCCGAGGTAGTCAATTTGCGTGACATTTAGCTATAAGCTTTCACCCGACCAGTAGTGTTCGAGTAGAAAGTATGTACAAGGTCAATGCGCTTGTTAGGTACACCTTTCAATGACAGAGACTGCCACAGAACCTCACAGTCGACGGGTTCAAATACCGCCTTAAGGTCAAGGAATGCTACTATTGTGGGACGTCTGTCTGTGTTCTACAGCCTGATATAGTGTGAATATCTGGTCTATACAACCGCGTCCAGGACTGAACCCACTCTGATTTTCTCGAGTCTGCTCTTCACGAGACCTAGTCGGTGTCGAAGTATGATTGAAGCTAATAACTTAGACGCTATATTGATGAAACTGATTGCTCTATGATTGTCACAAGAGGACTTTTGTCCTTTCTTATAGACTGGAACAATCAGTGACTAAGAACAGTCAGTTGGGATCACGTCCAGATTCCAGTTAAACTTCTAAAGCTGGACAAACATCCTTAAAAATCTCAGAGGTTAGTCCACCAGGTCCCTCTGATCTGTCTCGTCTTAGACTGCCTATAGCCTTTCTAACTTCACTAAGAGTTGAAGGACATACATCAATCTGCCATTCAGGTTGACTGGAGATCGTGGGTAACCAAAGTGTGGCTGAACACCAGTTTAACTGATCCCTAAAGTGTTCTGCCTATCGATTCAATCTCATGGATAGAGAATGAACCACGCTCCTAGGTCGTTAAGATCAACGCTATTCTACCTTCCTTTTCAGGTTCCTCAAGAAAACGTTTCTGGTTCATGAAACGTTATTGCTGGTATTCTGAGACCACGATTCAAACAACATGCTAGAACTTACAATGTCTGAACCTCGTACCAAGCAGAACAACTGGCTCTCTTAGCTGGGACCCTTTGAACGGCATCATTCGACTCTGTCGATCGTGAGGTTCTGTGGCAGTCTGTTTCTTTGAAAGGTGTACCGAAGAGGTACATTGGCCTTATGCAGGCTCTCTACTGCAATACAATTTGTCGGGGAGAGTCTATGGCGAACTGTCGACGTGACTGAATAATTCAGGCGATGTTCGTCAGGGTTGTTCAGATTTTCCATTCTTTTTCAATTTCGTCATTGATATGCTTTTGGAGACGGTGTGATGCGATTCTCCCTTTCAAAATGCAAAATGTTGCTTCAGCATTGGCTTGCACCGACATTTAAACTAGTGATAAAGAGTGAAGTAGTTGATCGTGTCGATGGAGTCACTTATCTTGCGAGTCTCATTAATGCTGATAGCACGGTGTGTGACAAAATCTTGAAATGGATACAGAAGGCCCGACTAGCCTTTATCAACTTGTATCACATGGTGTAAGCGAGATATCCATCTTTCAACGAAAGGACTATGGGATTTGAATTGAATATCCCATCTCTGTGTGCTATTGTGGAGTGGCAACTTGAACTGATGCGTGGACGTATCATGATTACGTTGGTGCTGACTGACTTCCTAAAACTCAGTTTATATCAGTGTTTTTGAGGAATTCGATCTAAGTTCTATTTTGCCTACACATGGTCAAATGGAGATAAACTACTTGTGTCGTAAGAACTAGGCTGCTTAGTATACCTATTTACTGAAAAGTAACGGATGTATATATTTAGCTTGACCCTGCTCTGTCCTATTTTTGTGTACTGAAATATTCATTGACTAAGTTTTTCACATATAGTTCAGTACCATCATAACCCTTCAATGACTAAAGCGTTTTGATTCTGTTAAAGGCTGTTGTCAACAGAAAGAAAACATATGCCATCATTCGTGCAATATACAATCATAGCCACTCTCCTGAAGACTTTGAACGTGAATTAGATTTTGTATTAAGTCGTAAAGTATGTATGGTCATTATTGAACCAGAATTTCTCGGTGAAGTAACTTGGCGATGGATTCGTACTGGCAATTGGTTACATAAAACAGCTGTTATATCAGGTAAGATTTCTAGTATCTTACCATCATGTTCATCAATTATTATTTCATGGATATTTTTAATGCATCCGAACTGATGAGGTATCTAACGTTTTTGATAACTGGCTAAAAAATCTGTCTTTTCTCCTGAATTACGTTTTTGGATGACTATTATGTTAACGTTTTTCATCATAATGCTAGATTGTTTTGTGGAAGTGCTTTCTACCTGATAGTGGACAAGAGTTGACTGTATAAGTATTTTACATACCTAGGATCTGATTGCTTGCTAAGGACAATCATGGTTTTAATTATTTTATCAGAGTCACCGTACCAACAATGCTACATTTTATATCAATGTAATCTTAATAATATGCACTTTGACAATCCGTACGCAGCTGCTACCTTGACGTGGTGGTCGAGCTTGTCTATCGTGATGACCCAACCGAGCTATATTGGCTGGAACATATGGTCCTACCATGCCAAGCTGGCAGATTGGAGAACGATGAGACTAAAAGCATCTACTCAGGGTCTGAGGGCGAAGTCGTACTGCTCATTGTAGAAAGGTGTGACAGCAGTAAGGTATTTACCTTGGACAACCAGAAACTGCGGCGATGCTGCCTTCTCACAAGGAACCAAGAGGTTAGAAACGGTCGACCCTAAAAGTGTCACACACATGACCTTACCTCTCGGATTTGCGTCTCCAGCGGTAAGGCCTTTTAAACAAGAGCGGAGCTAATACCCTAAAAACATCTCATAAAAAGACCATGCGTGACCGGAATCAAGCAGTTGTCCCTTGGGCTCTACGGTCACGCTCCCAGGTCTCCAAGACCAGAACTAACCTACCTTCTTTTTCAGATTCCTCTAGAAACACCCTCCCACGGTGTGGGCAGCCGAGAAGTGACAACCACCCTCATACCCGTAACAGCACACCAGACCAATCTGGTCGAAATCAAATCCTTCCTACACCCCCTAATATCTCTCTTATCTCCACGACTAACTCTTCTCAAATTCATTTATCACAGTGCACAGCTAATGCAGACGACACGAGTTCGCGAAACGTCGTTCCTGGTCTCCTTAGACCCCGCTCTAGACTACATGTTGGAGCATTTAATGTACGTACATTAGGTCAAATAGGGCAACAGGCTTCGTTAGCTAGGAATTTAGAATCTCGCGCCATCGATGCTCACAATCTCCAGTCATAGTGAATGGCAAATCGATATAAGTCCTTGGACTCTGAATGAAGTTGTATAAGCTATAGGAAATATGAAACGAGGAGAAGCAGCAGGGCCTGACAGGCTTAACCCTGAGATTTTTGAGGATGGTGGTCCAGTTTTAGCAGTTAGACTGACTGAGATCCTAGATAGAATATGGGAACTGGGCGTAATCCCATCTGACTGGTCTCAATCACTGATTGTCCCAGTCTACAAGAAAGGACAGAAGTCCTCTTGTGACAATCACAGAGGAATAAGTCTAACTAATATAGTATCTAAAATATTGGCCTCAATAATACTTCAACGCCTAATGAAAGCTCGTAAAGAGCCAACTAGAGAAAACTAGGCTGGTTTTCAACCTGGATGTGGATGTATAGACCACATTTTCACACTACGACAGGACCTGGAACACAGACACACATTTACGCGTCTTACTATAGTTGTTTTTCTGAACCTTACGGTGGCATTTGACTCTGTGAATCGTTAGGTTCTGTGGTAGTGTCCTTCATTGAAAGGTGTGCCAAAGAAGTACATTAACTTTATACGAACTCTCTACTCGTACACCACTGGTCCAGTGAGAGCTGATGGCGAACTGTCATCGGAATTCTTAACTTCAAGTGGTGTCCGTCGATGTTGTCCACTCTCCATTGTTTAAATTTGTCGTAGATATGCTTTTGGAGTTGACATTATCATCGTCTTACTTTTCAGGGGTGGACCGTCTACCAGGAGACACGCTTGTTGACCTAGAATATATGCCGATGACATAGTTTTATATGCTGAAGATGCTGACAAAATGTAGAGTCTTCTGACTACCCCAAGCAACAATGCAAGCATGTTCGGGATGCGGTTTCTCCCCTCGAAACGCAATATGTTGCTTCTAGACTGGGTTGCATGGGCACCTGAACCAGTGATAGGGAATGAAGTAGTCGTCCGTGACAACCGCTTCACTTATCTCGGTAGTCTCATTACCGCTGGTAGCCTGGTAATTGACGAAATATCAGCTCGGATACAGAATGCTCGATTGGGTTTTGCCAACTTGCGTCACCTATGGCGCTGGCGATATCCGTTTTCTGACTAAAGGACCAGTGTACTGTGCAGCAGTTCGCTCTATCCTACTATACGGATGCGAAACATGGCCATTAAGAGTAAAGGACATTCATAGGTTGCTTATCTTCGATCATAGGTGTCTCCGAAGCATTGCTCGTATACCGTGGGACAACCGAGTAAGCAATGCTGTCGTTAGGAAACGAGTACTAGGCAAGGATGGCAGATCAATCGATGAAGTGGTGAAACTTCATCAGTTGAGGTAGTTGGGATATGTGTCGCGTAAGCCCGACCACCGACTACCTCGACGAGCTATGTTTTGTGGTGTAGGAGGTTGGAAGAGAGATAGGGGCGGCCAAACCGAAACATGACAGAAATCCATGAAGTCACTAACAAGTGGACTGGGTCATGTTGGTGGATATAAGCTACCTGGTTGGTGTCTGCGAGACGAAAGTAAACAATAGTTAGAGACCTTGAACAACATGGCTCAGAATCGTTCGCAATGGCGCAGGTGCATTCATTCATTGTGTTCTCTCAAATTCTAACCTTATAAATTCCTTATCAGCTCCATCCTTGGCTTTCTATAAATTTACCTCGCTGTAGTATGTTTCTCGAATCATATCTTCGAAACCCTAATCTTCTTCATTACTGCTAATACTTCTCCTATCGCTACGAATATTGGATTTGAACTGACAGCTGTCTGTGCTGATGGGGTATGGCAACCTGAACTGATGTACTTACATAAGAAATTCTACGTTGTAACTGACTGACTGTAAGTGGAAAGTTTATCACAAATCATCTATAAACCTATGACTTGGTAAAAATGTCCAATTGTTTGAATAGCCACAGTTTGTATCAGCCCATAGTTCTTTCTTGAGCAAGGTTAAACCTAAGACAGGTATGCTTCAATCAAAGTTTCCACACCACATCAGTACAACAGTGTGAAACTATCAACACAAAAGGCAGGGTTTTAAAATTGGTAACATCATTTACGGTGATAGCAATAACTACGTATGGAATATGAGATTTTATAGAAAATAAGAGTTTTAGTTATAAATTGGGATTTTTTAAGACAATTTGTAAACCGAGTATCCAAGGGGAGGTAAAGAGAGAATTTTAAATGATATTGCGATGATTAATATTAAAAATGTAGTGTAATAAAAACAAATAACATGCAGAATGCAATACGAGGTGTGCTACAAAACTGAAGGTTCAGAAGTAAATAAGGAATAGATGTAAATACTATTGTGATCGGTTTTTACCATTTAAGTCTGAACTCAGACAGTGTATTTAGCTGTGAACGCTTTCGAAATGTTCCATTCAGGAAAGAGTTTCACTACAATAGTTTAATAATAACAATAAAAGTTTTAGCAGCGATAGAGGATACAGTCCTAATAGAAGTAGGGAAAAAGTGCGGCAGAATGTACTTTACTATTCATATAGAACACTATATATATGCGGCAATCTCTGTACTCACTCTAAATTTGAATTGATTCACTCTTTATTTCAAATGACTTTTGAGTATTAGATTGAAACATATACTCAGGTATCCGCTTTTCATTGTTAGCCAAATCCATGGCGTGCTAGGGATGTCCATTCACTAATGAATGACACTTAAAGATCAATCATTGTTATTGGCTTGTAACATATACTCATATTTAAGGTAATCTTAACAGTTCAATGATATTATCGTTCAGCTGTACTGGCACTTGACTTCAAATTATTTAGCTACTAGTATAAACCTTTCTTTATATGCTTCGTTTCGAGCGCCATGTTAATATCTACATTCCTCACATAGTAGCTATGACTCCTACGTTATTTTACTTGTTTACATATTCCCAAAATATCCTCATCAGTACTTATGGGATGGTGTGTGACGAAATCTCGACGAATGCATAGGCCAGATATCTATCTTCCGACCATAAGACGAGTTTAGACAGACAGATACAACGCAGAACTTCGTACGTAAGTACACCAGTTCATGTTGCCATGTCCCATCAGCACAGAGACGCAACTGTCAGTTCAAATCCAAGAGTGATAGCAGTAATAGAAGTATTAGCAGTAATGGAGAAGATTAGGGAGCGAAGATATGATTCAGTAAGATAAATTTAGAAATCGAAGGATGGAGATGATAAGGAATACAGAAGCTTAGAATTTCATAGAACACAAAGAGTGGATGCACCTGCGCCATTGCAAACGATTCTGATTTCCTCTAGTCTGCTCTTCACGAGCTTTCGTTAAGCGTCGAAGTTTTATGGAGGCCAATATTTCAGATACTATATTAGTTAAACTTATTCCCCTGTGATTGTCACAAGAAGACTTGTGTCCTTTGTTATAGATTGGGACAATCCTTGATTGAGACCACTGGATGGGATTATGTCCA